AGCTTGGGGTTTCATTCGAAAAGCACACATCACCTAAATGGTCAAAGGTATGGTTATGGAACAAGAGGAAGTATCAAAGAAGCAAAGTCAGAAAATGGCACCATGGCAAGCAAGAGAAACACTGAGCCTAGAAAACTGTACACTTTAAACCAGAGCCAGCAAGGGTTTTATCTATAAAGAGCTGGGTGACAAATGGAATAGGGTCACATTCCAATGCAACCTCACTGACAGACTGCTATCCGGGCTTTTCTCAGTTCCACACTGCCATAAACTATAGCTCAGTTTTCAACTATTACGTGTAAAACCCTTCTGAGAGCACTCGCCATAGAAAGGAAAGCAGGTGGACCAGTTTGCTGGTCTCTCTTTAGTGACAAAAGGGTAAGGGGGATTAACTGTCCAGCAGTTTTTCTTTTATACAAACTGACAACTAATCAGGCATGTATTTAATTCCTTACATTTGATTTCCCTACACAAAAATAATTACACATGTTGACAACAAATCTGATAGTTTGACAATATGACCTTCTTAAATGAAATAGTAAAAGGAGGTACCCTTTTCTCTTGCATATATAAACTCATGAGATTACTATAAACAAATTCTATTACAAAGCCAGTGACTAAGTCAACTAGGAAAAATCTGACCATTAAACCAACTGCCAAAGATTTTCACACCTATGAATAAGCACAATGGCAGGGCCCTCCCCTCTCTACACCTCCGCTTTCAATTTCAGCTAACCTCCAGAAAAATCAACTACACGTGAGAAGCGCAGCAACATAGAAAGCACGAATCACAAATCATCTCTCACTGCTTGGAACATTTTCAGGAGATTCTATAGCGAAAAGAGTAGACAATCTACATAGAAATACAACCTAGACTGTTAAACCCTACAGTGAGCATTAGCATGAGTTCACAATCAGGGTCGAATGTGAACTTCTGACCAGAGCGTCAACTGTACAAACCATGTCTGACGGGGAGGACTCCTTACTCCAAGCCAGTCCTTGTGCCTTGGTTGCAGCTCAGGGCCAGGAAGAGGCCTCCTCCTAGCACCTGCTGCTGCAGAGACCTGGAACCCAAGAACTTCAACGCCAAACCAAGGGACAACTCTGTTCCCAGAGCTGTTTTCAAATGTGTACCTTCAAGTACAGCACGGAGGGAGGAGCATTAAAGAGCCACGCTCAGCTGCTACAGTTGGGCTCAAAGACAGACAAAATGACTGACATGATCACCTGACAGCTGGACTCCTCCACTCAAGCTCTGTACAACCAATGACAGAAACCCCACTGTCCTACTTACCTGAGTTCTGGAGGGCACCTATTCAAGCATCACTTCCCATCATCCTAACTTAGTCACAACTCTAGAACACCACAAAACTTGGGCCAGGCTGGCCTATCAAAAGAGCCCAGGTGAAAGAAACTTACAGAGACTCTTAGCTCCTTCAGGGCCTTGTGCATCTTACAAGGTTCACTATGACACAGACTTCTGTACCTAACTCCACAGGGTACCACACAGCCACAGCCTACACCACTTTAGTGACGTTTGTGACACAGAGCCTGCTTCTCCGTGAAACTGAAAACAAAGTACGATATCACTTAGTGTCTGGATGAGGTAACTACCTACCCAGCAGGCCTCACGCTCACCATGCAGGCAAGGATGACACTGTACTCCTGATCCTCCTGTCTCCACTACCCAAGGCCACACCATTTAATCCCTATTTTAAAAACCCGTATATATAAATGCTATCTTATTGTACATCCACTCATTTAGTAATTAACTGGTTATTATTTAAATCATTCATATGGTTCAAATCATTAAGTACGGTTTAAACTCACATAACAATTGAGTAATGATGACATGATTACAAGAAAAGTATTTCCCCAGGGCTGTCACAAATCTATCCCAACTGTAACAATCTTCTGACCTAACAACATGTCTCTCAACTATGTGACCAAAGGATACTTACATACTACACAGATTTTTTTTTCTTCTAAGAATTTCCTCTTCTACATCCACTGCAAGTATTAAAAAACAAAACCAAAAAAACCCTACAAAGTCCTTTAGGGCTGGGGTGTGGCTTCATCAGCTTGTATCCACAACTCTCTTTCCCCTACCTGAAATTAAGTAACTACAAAGGGAAGATAAACAGCTCTCTTCCCAGACTTAAGAGAAGCAGCCTCGGCACTCACTCCCCAAAGCGCACGGCCCCACCCCTGTAACTCCCCCAAAGGTCCTCAGCAGGTGGAGATGATGGGAAGCAGGATCACTCACCCCCCCCACAGGCAATCCCTGTGAAACACAGATACTGGGGCCTGCAGCTGGGTGCTCACGCTGCAGCTATGTCCTTCCAGAAGCTACGAGAAGCCTGGGGTAGGAGGTCGTGTCAGGTCTCTTCTATGAAGACCACCGATGGCAGTTCTAAGCAACTACTTTTCAGGTGGCCCGTCAGCTCCTTCTAAGCCCACTTCCATTTGTCACTGTGCCGTATTCAGAAGTGAGCCACATTTTCACCTTGCTTTTTATGCCAGAGAATACAGAAATTACAACCATTCAATCCATTCCCATCCAAGCCCAGCAATCTCCAGAGGTCTGTGGTCTGCACGTATAAACACACAAGCCTGGAAAGGCAACAAAAACAAGGGTCACAGTGATCAACCCCAACTACGAAGTGAGGAGATGGCCCTAGAACCTGTGCCCTGAGGTCTCAGACTGACAACTCTCACAGGCAACCACCACGAAGGCACTATGGGGGTGTCAACAGGAATCTTTACCCTGAAAGTATAACTGTAGTCAGTCAAGCTTGAGGTCAACTACGAAAAAAATAGTCACAAAAGGCAAGGCAAGTTAAGACTGTTTCGTAGGCAAAGAAGAAACAAAAGCATAACTCTGGGAGACAAAGGCTGGGAAACTAGTCTCTCAACTCCCTTTTCCACTACCATGCTTAACGTGCTCTCAGTTCAAAATGCTTGGAAGGGAAAATGCTGTCTGTCGTGTTAAAGGGTGCACTATCCAATATCCAACGTGTGGTTCAGAACTGAGAGTTCAGAGCCTTCCTGCTACAGAAGCCAACTGCCCAAGGTTGGACTCTCGGTTTCCCAGTGCCTACTCTTGCTGTGCGAGCCGCTGTGGCACTTCATACAGAAACAAGTGTGTTTCTCTTTATACCCCCAATATCCTGCTAGAATCCAACTTTCTAAAACTGAAAGCAAACAAAACTGTCTACAATCTGCACATCTTTGTTACTTGTTTTCATAGTCAGAACAAAAAAACTTAGGTTTGTTGCCATTTAATCTTAGTTTAGTTGGGTTACAGATCTCCTCAACACAACTTCCACACTGTTGGGTTCAAGAATGGTTGCTAGTGCCTTCTCTACCCCAGTGTCCCTCTTACCTAGGGAGTGTTTGATCACCTACTTTTTCTAAGCAAAGATTTCTGAGCAGGTCATTTTAATCAAATTACACTCAACTTCTGAATTAGAGTGATCTAAACACATATCTATACAGTAAAATGCATTTAGCCAATCTACTGGCAACCATGCTAAGCCAGAGTGTACTCTTTCAAAGGAATACAAAATTATGTCTCCACACTACCTGAGATCACCTGCTACCTTACACCTTTCTAAGACAAGACGGAAAGGGATTTTAGTGGTCATATTTTTCAGTCTCCCACAGCACCTAAAAAGTGTACAGGGAGGCTCAAGCTACTTCCACTTAATCAGATATGGCTCCTTTTAACATTCTGCACCCACTACCCACCCACCCCCATTATCCCATCCTTTTAGAGCTGTACAATCCAAGGCGGAAGGAGGGTGGAGAAAATACACAAAATTCTCCCGGAGATGGGGAGCAAGAAAACTTGGGGACACAACGGCATGCTGAGCAGCCCCCAGGGCCATCAGGTGACTCTGGAGTCCCTCCCCAGCCAAGCTGGTGTGAGGCATACCTAACGTCTTCACCCTACGTGACTATTAAGCTGTTCAGAGCTCAGCCCACGATCCCTGGCTTAAGTTTATCCAAACTGAAGTTACTACTTGAAATCGACCCCAAAGCCCACATGTCCAGTGCTGAGGTACAGGGCTGCTTCCGAAGTGCAGGCAAGGTACACCGATGCTTTTGTTTTGTTTTAAATTCTACCTGCTGGGGAAGGAGAGAGCAGAAAAGGCACACGCTACGTTACCGAATTCCCTCAGGAGACCGAGGAGAGCCTGACTCCAGACTCCTCCTGACTCAGAAGAGAGGACCAGAGGACGAAGACAGCTGCCTCCGCCGCCGACCCCAGTCCGTGGCCCGGCTGCTGGTGGCTTATCATCCCTCCAAACCTGGAAGTCCCTACCTCAAGATCAATCAAAGGGGGTGGGGGCATGTCTTCGGAAGGCACAACAAGCAAGGCCACAACTTGGATGAATGAAACTGGGCTAAGGGTATCGGGAGCAGGATTTTCGCTGAAGTCAGAAAAAGAGAGGTCAAAAGATATTTTTCTTTCGGGTTTTTGTTTTCGTTTTTTGTTAGTGTGACAGCGGAGACAAGCGTGTGGGGTGCGCAGGCTTTGGAGGAAGGTGGCACTGATCACAGGCGCTGAGGACAGGCGGTCAGGACGAGCGGCTTCTCGACGCGTGGGAGCGGAGCGGGGACCGGCCTGGGCTCTCGCGTGCGTCCTCCCAGCGGTCCTTCCACCAGACTCCGGAGGGCCGGGGTCCGAGGCCCGCCTCGCCCCCTGCGAGCCTGGCACACGCACACACACGCACACACCCCACCTCCCGCGACCGCGCACACGCGCGGGCATCTTCTCCCCCCCCACCCCGCCTCCCGCGCGCACGCGGCCGCGCCGAGCGCCCGACCCATGCGCGCCCCCCTCTGCGCCCCCGGCCTCCCGTGGACCGCGCGAGGGGGGCCCGCCCGGTGTCCCGCGGGCCGGGGACGCGGGGCTGGGAGGCCTAGAGGCGGCGGGGCTGAGCGGGGCGGGGCGGGCCCGCGCGGGAACTCGGTCTAAGGGGAAGGTCACTTACCCGCCGCATGGCTTTCAGAATCAAAGCCAACTCGTAGCGGGGCATGGCCCGGGATCGCGGCGCAGAGTCGAGCCGGGGCGGGCTGGGGGTCGCGAGGCGCCGAGGGCGCGGGGAACGAGAGGAGACCGGGGCCGGTCGGCTGCCGGGCGGCGAAAGCACCGTGCGACCGCGCGAGCCGGGCTTAAAGGCTCTGGCAGCTGCGCAGACGGCCCGGCCCGCCCACCGCGGGCCCCGCCCACCCGGCCAGGCCCCGCCCCGCCCCTCCGGGCGCCCGCGCCTGCGCCCCCGCGGGGCTGCCCGCCTGCTCGCCCGCGCCCTCCCTCCCGGGCGGCCTCTCGGTCCCCGAGCCTGCCGGTCGCGGACGGACACGGTCCGGAGCAGCCCGTGGGAGGCTCGCTCGGCACGCACGCGTTCGCCACCGCCTCCGCGCCTACCAACCTTGGTCTCGGGAACCCGGTGGAACTTTCCAGGCCTTCCTCGGGCGCTGGGCGAGCGTGTGCGCGTGCGCCGCGGTGCGGTGCGGTGGTCTGCGCCCCTCGCCCGCGTCTCCAGGGAGGAAGGCGGGGTGCTAACGAGTTAGCTGGTGCACCACGCCGCCGAGAAGCAAGCCTGGAACCGAAGGGCTAATGTGGGCATTGGCTGTGTGCGTGAGCCTGGCCTGACCCAAAAGCAGGCGAATGATTCGACTCTAGGCAATTTTTTTAAGGTTATCCCTGCTTTTCAGGTAAAGGATCCTGAGGGTTTTTTTTTTTTTTTCGTAGAGTACAAGAGTGAGGAGGGGCGTCGTAGAGGGTCCCAGGTTCAGTCCTCCCCAGCACACAGACAGGGAGAGCCCAGGAACCCACCCCCTTCTTTTGGACACTAGAGCGAGGTGCTGTTTTCTTAGCTCTGATCCAGAAGGCGCTGATCCCGCTGCAGCTGCTGCCCTCCGCTCCCAGCTTACCCGGCTAGAAGGGTCTCTAGCTGAAATGCCCCTGTAACTTTAAAGTGCCCTAATAACCGGTGGTAATTTATTGAGCGCTCACTGTCTGTATCAGACCCAACACAAAGGCTGCTCTGCAAGTTCTCACACTAGCTCTGTGAAGCAAATGGCATTCACCCTATTTTAGGTATTAGCAAATATAAACATGCAAGGATAATTCAATTAGTCCAAGGTCATACACATGTAGAAACACAGTTTGGGGCCCGATTGTCTGAAGAGTGGGTTCACTGTCTACACTTCTGGGATTAAAGGCGTGCGCCACCATCACCCTGTCTACACTTCTGAACCTAGCCACTCCCCCTCTCCAATCTCACTCGGTGGCATCTTTGTAAGCACAAATGGGGAGACTATCTTTGTCACCTCCTCCGTAGACCATTAGGGTTTCCTGCCACCAGTCTCTACAAGAGATGAAGGTTTTGAATACAACCTGTGATGCCTGGGTTTTCAACATTTTCGTTTCTCCGGTTTGTCCATAAGCTGCATCCTTACAAACAGAAACTGCACAATCCAGATCACCTAGTAAGTGTCTACCGCACTCCTTTTGGTTGTCTGAAGACCTCATCCCACAATCAAAGAACAGAAGGAAGGAAGGGCTTCTGAGCTCTTCAGAACTGAGTTCCAGATCTGTGTAGCATCCCACTTCAAGGTCCCTTCCCGTTACCAATTCCATGGCCCAATTTAGGAGTGAGCAGTTATGAGCCCCACATTCCCAAACCAAGCAAAACACTAAACATCACTTGGAGCTGACCAGCCTGGAGCATCTCTTGGAAGCACGGGGCAGGGGGTGGGGGGTGGGGGGTGTTCTCTCTGATGCCCAGGGAGGAGCGAGTCCTGGTTCTCTGACTTGACAAGTGGAGAGAGGAAATCAGCCCAACTGCACAATGCCTCAGGGGAGACAGCACCCCATAGCCCTCCCAAGTCGTTAACCACCCACAGCTACTCATCCCATTTCTTAAGTGGGAAAAGAAATTATCCTAATTCCCCCCTCCCGCTTCATTTTTTTAAATAAGTAGTTGTGGCTTCCGATAATTTTTTTTCTTAAAATTATGAGAGATGCTGACATAAATTTAGCACCTTCCAACTAAAACTGCAAACTGAAATTCATCAAAATATAATTTTAAATTGCATATATACTATATGTAGCAAGCATGTAGAATCATAAGCTTTTTCTACAGCACTTAGTGTATTGATCTAGAAAACACCTTTTAGGATCTTGAAAAATAATCTAATACAATAGAGATGTGATATTTTCTTAACCAAAGGCTTTGGCTAATTTTCAAGTAAGTTCATTTGAAGAGCAATGGGAAAAGAGAACAAAAGCAGAAGCTGGAATCAGGTATGCCCCGGGGCAGTTTGAGCTTTCCATCATTGCCCTCTGCTTTTCTGTTCCCACATGAGAGGTCTGACCTTGAGCCCTCCGTCTTAACACACAAAGGCAGCTGAGGGTTTTCATGATTATTACCAGACCTAACATTTTGAGCATTTGCTATGAACCAGGCAGCCCTGTAAGTACTTTGCATGTATTAATACTCATTTCTGACCATAAAGATAGGTGTACACAGGAAGAAAAATGAAGCTTAACAAATCTTCCGTCACTTGCCCCAAATCAGAAAAAAAAAAATTCTGAATTCACACACTTAACCCCAATACTGCACAGCCAATTTCGCAGCTGTTGGTTGACCAACAGTGCTCCGTCTTCCCTTCTGGCACCTCCACTAACCTCTCCCCAAGGCTTCCTCCTTCTCCCTCAAACCACCGGGCATCTGTTCTCACTTTTCTTAGCCCTGTTGCCCTTCCAACTTGTCTTTCTTTTCACCTGCATTTCTCCAGCAGTAGTATCCAAACCTACCCTCCTCCACGCCAGGGACAGGGAAGGAGAAAAGGACTTGGAGGAGACTATCAAGATGGCCAGCAAGGACCTGACAGAGAGCCTGGGGAACAGCTCCTGGGAAGGAGATTAGGGGACTCCATAGTGATAGCCAGGGCTATCAGAGGCAGCATCCCATCCCGGTAGGTAGCATTAAAGGCTTGAGGGGGCCATAACCCAAGTTCCCTTAATTCAAGTGCTTTGGAATTTGCCTGGGAAGAAAGTCTGAGTCGATCTTCCCCGCCAGGACCCCAGCCTACCGCGGCAGTGCAGGCGGCCAGTGGAGAGCTTAGAAAAGCAGCGAGTTCCCCGTCTGTAGATAGGAATCTGATACGGAAGCAAGGTAAATTATTTATCCTAAGTCACACAGCCCTGGGCTGGCACAGCTCAAAGGAAAACAAAAAGACAACTTTGCTTACCAGCGCGCCCTTGCCACCTGTGGGCTCCAGCCTTGATTCTGCTGTTGTCAGAGGATTACTCTAAACGGTTCAGGGTCCTCCCGTATCTAAACAACGAGCTCTGACTGTTGCTGGGGAAAGGTAAGCCATACACAAACCATTCTGCTTGTGCCTAAATGCACCCTCCAGGAAGGGAAGAAATGTGGGTTGGGCAGTTAAGAATGTTTGCTGCTCTTCCATAAGCCCCAAATTTGATTTCCAGGGTCCACATCCAACTACCTGTAACTTCAATTTCAGGGCGTCTGGTGCCCTCTTCTGGACTCTGAGAGTGTGCTCGAGCATACACACACACACACACACACACACACACACACACACACAGGTGTGGGTGGGGTGGATACATATAATCAAAAATGAAAAGAGAGTAAGTATATTAAGTTTTCAGTTAATGGACAAATGATCATGTGTAGAATTAAGCCATGTTCTAATCTGATAACCATGACTCTTCACCCACCCACATGGAAAGGAGCTTCCATTAAAGGCACAGTGTATGTATTTCTTGAATCTCACCTCAATTGGAACTGGGATTGCTCCGCAGTCCTCTGGTCCCATGACATACACCTGTAAAGCCTGGCCTGCCTGGTGTGCCTGCCTGGTGTGCCTGCCTGGCGTGCCTGCCTGGTGTGTCTGCCTGGTGTGCCTGCCTGGTGTGCCTGCCTGATGTAGCTCAGTATGCATTTGTGTTTGTCAATCAGTAGACCAAATTAGGCCAGAACATTTTGAACTTATTTCGCTTTTAGCTGTTTTACCTGTGACCCCACCCCCTCTGGTCTTTCCTAAACCTCTACATGCAACCTTCATGGACCCTTCCCTATCTTTTGGCCACACCCACTTACCTCGGATTCTCTCTCCTCTCTGCAAACGTGGATTTATCGTTGCCTGTGCTACCAGTGACCCAAATAGCAGAGTGGAATGCTGTACGAGCATATGTTTTTAGGGCAAGAACTTGGAGAACTCTTTAAACATGTCCTCACTTTTCATTTGCCAGTTTCCAAATTATTTTAAGAATTTTTGATCAAATAGATTTTGAGGGTGAAGGGTTCAATTGGGACTCCACTACAACAACAAAAGCTAAATGTCTTCATGACATAATTCCCTTTACCCCACCCCCTTCTGCTAAAAAGAGAAAAGTTGGGACTGGAGGGATCGCTCAACAGTTAAGAACATACACCTGCTCGCGCAGGGAACCCTGGTCAGGTCCTCACAGTGTGTGTGTCAGGATGCGGCTCGCCCCAGGGGAATCCAACACCTCTAGCCTGTGTGTGTGTGAGTGTAAGTGTGTGTGTGTGTGCGCAAAACACCATTAAAAGTGATAAAAATAAATATCTTCCTTAGAAACGTTATGGGATGTTCTCTGAGAGATAGTCTGCCACATTTCCTAGTAAAGAGGTACTTAATACATTTTCAAAACTATGACTTTAAAAGGCAAAACGTTTCCGCTGTCTCTACTCTCCACTTGCTAAGTTAGCTTTTCATTGCCAACAGTGCTGTAGCGTGGCCCCCCCAACAGCCTGTCATAGGCCAGCAAAGGTCCTTGATGCCCAGTGTCAATAATGTTGGAGGGACAAAGCAGCTCTCTCTCCACCAAAGTACATCCACGAGGCTTCTCTGGAAGAGTCTCTCAGATTTAGCAAAAGGAAGAAAGGCCAGTGGGTGGGAGAAGGCTTCCAGGAGACAAACGCCATCTGCCCGGGGTCCCTGCAGACAGGCTCCCTGCATCAGGCACTGCACGGAGGAGGACTCCTCCTAGGGAGGCTGGGAGTGCAGCGGTGCACGCAGGCAGGCCGGAGCTCTAGGATGGAGCAGGAGAGGACTTCAAGGGGCCCAGCGCATGAGAATCTGCCAGCAGCACTAAGGCTACTGCAGCAGGCAGCAGGGGCGCTCCTCCACGGGTGACGGTTAACCACAGGCTAGGACAGCGGGGGCGCTCCTCCACGGGTGACGGTTGACCACAGGCTAGGACAGCGGGGGCGCTCCTCCACGGGTGAAGCCTGACCACAGGCTAGGACAGCGGGGGCGCTCCTCCACGGGTGAAGGCTGACCACAGGCTAGGACAGCGGGGGCGCTCCTCCACGGGTGAAGCCTGACCACAGGCTAGGACAGCGATCTGCACAGCAGGACTCAGCTCACCCTGAGCCAGCATTGTTTGACTCAGGCCACGCCTGTCTTGGGTATGCCCTCGGGGGTCTTCATTCTTAAGGCTTATTTCACACTCCAATGCACATATCCTCCCTCGTGAAATTCGACTTGCTGATGTGGTACAGTGCCATTACTCTGGTCTCAAGAGTCAAGGAGGACAGTCACACAGCAGGCCACCCTGAGTGGGCCTTTTAAATGATCTCGCCACTTTTAGAATGTTGGTAGACAGTGTCGTGACCGCCAGCCAACACTTCCTGGTGAGGTCAATGTACAAGAGTCACCTGTCTGTGAAGACCAGCCCACCCTCCGCTCACAGGCGCGGTCTGGAAGTGGCTCTAGTGTGAACGGGGGAACATTGTGTTCAGATTGGACCCAAAAGAGGATTAGTCACAGGAATCAATTTTACAGGCACCAAATCATGCTCGATAGTTATTCAGCACACATTGGTTCAGGGTGAAGTTTGTCTGAATAACTAGTTCTGGCCTGAATCTGAGCTGTTTTGGCCTTCCTTTTTTATTACGGAAGAAAACAGATTCATTGAAAAGAAAAAGAAACAAATGGGGATTGGAAAGATGGCTCAGTGGTTGGTAACACTTCCTGCTCTTCCAAGGAATCCGAGTTCACTTCCCAGCATTCACATGAGACAGCTCCCACCCCTTGTAACTCCAACTCCAGGGGATCTGATGCCCTCTCTGGCCTCTACAGGAACATGCACTCATACGCATGTACACACGCACCTGCACACACACACACACATACACACACACACACACTTCAAAATAATAAAAATAAATCTTGTTTTTAATGTGTATGGGAGGCAAAGGGAATTCCATCAGAGAACATGAGAGGTGAATAAATAATCTTTTGCAGTGAAGAAGATAACTCCTAGCATGCCAAACTCAAAAGCAAAAATGAGGGAGATTTTCTTGGTTTTGAGTTTAGAATGTATGAAGGTGATCTATACTATTTCAGTATGTAATATATGTGCGTGTTTTCAGGTTGTTTTTATTTTTAAAAAATGAATCCGGTGGCAGCACTAACTGTGGCCATCTATACTCCTGGGGGTGGGGGTGGGTCTCTTCGGGTACAATTAAAATTACAAGATATCAGGAGCTTGCCGATGGGAGCTTTCAGTAAACCTCATCCTGAATTAAGAGGGTATGTAGGATCTCTCCAGGAAACCTAGTTCCCAACCTGAACCAAGAAGCCCCCAACGCTGAAAAGACTTTGCACTGACCAGATGCTCTGTTATTGATGCAGGTGGAACAAGTTGTTTTAGCATTAAACTAACCATCACGTGGTATTATTAGATGATTAGGCTATCTAATATGAGGTTAACTCTCAGCAATCATCAACAGTTTTCAGACCCTCAAGTCCTTTATTGTTTTTTTCTTTCTCCCTTGCACCAACATATCCAAAATCTAAATGAGATGGTGGAGTCCAGGATCAGGAATGACACTTTCCTCTTCAATCAAATATTAGCCTGGCCGGCGTGAGAGACAGTAGTACCTGCCCCCGGCCTTAACGGTTCCGTGGTTAAGAAGTGACAATTCCCCAGTTAGAACCACCGGATCATCTAAACTGAGAGCAGGGCGATTGGTCCGGGGGCCCTGAGAGCAGCGCTACTGAACCGGTCTCGAGTGTGGACTCACAGCCTCTTGGGTGCAGGCCGAGCTCTGTGTGATACCACCTGCCCAGCCGCACCCTTAAGACTCAAACCCTCTACTCCCCACTTCTCTTCCACTCACCTGGGTACCAGTAGGCACATCCTCCAAGACGTGCTCAAAGGCTTCCTCGGAAGACGGAAGACGCAGGTCTGATGCCGGTCTCTCCTCAGCCTGTATTCCCGGGATGAGGTCCAGACTCCTCCGTGGGACTTACATAGCCCCTGGGCCCCTGCCTGCTTCCTTTCCTATGGCCCCTCCCCGCCACACCATTTCGCCTGCCCATCATTCCCCCCCCCGCCCATCATTCCGCCCTGTTAGCACGTGGCCTGTTCCCTGCTGACTTTTGCCCTCTGTCTGGAGTGCACACCTTTCCCTTCATCTGGCCTAGTCCTAGTTTTCCTTCCCCCTTTTCCTTATGAACTATTACTTATGAGCAGAAGTGGCGCAAAGCACATGTGATCTAACAACCCTTTCCACACCTCTGTAGAAAAACCACCACTCCCCTTGACCCTTCCCTTGCTTTTCCCTAAAGTCTTATCTTTTGTGTACACGTTGCTAAGCAACAGCGTGTTCCTGCTTGTTTTGAATGTTGGGTGTCTTGTTCTCCTCCCCAACATTAGATTGATACAATTCATCTGCGCCTGTTGAACACGGCTCATTTTCTCTGCTCGTACAGCATCGTACAAACAAACCACCATGCCTGCTGCATTCTGCCATGGATGAGGATGGGTAGATTATCGGGGTGGGCACTTATTACCAACAGTCCTGGTGGGAACGTTCTTGTACTTTGTAGGCTCACATCTAGAAGTGCATGTGTGAGTGTTCGCTAAGACCGGGACCTAGGAATGGAATGTACCTTCATGGTATGCAAAACTTCGTCCTTTCCAGCTAATTGCAAAAGGGTTTTCAAAGCAGCCGGCACTACTCAGCAGTTCACTGCGGCGAGTATGATTTTGCTAACTCCCATTCTGTATTTCGACCCTTTGCCCCTTAGGAAAGCACACTCAGATTCTCAGAGACTGGGTTGGTGTGCTGGCTAGTTTTATGCCAACTTGACGCAAGCTAAAGCTAAAGGAGGGAACTTTAAGAAAATACCTCCCTAAGAGAGAGAGAGGGTTATAGGCAAGCCTGTAGAGCTTTTTCTTAGTGATTGATGGGGGAGGGCCCAGCCCATTGTGGGCAGGGCCATCCCTGGGCTGGTGGTCCTGGATTCTATAAGGAAGCAGGCTGAGCAAGCCATGGGGAGCAAGTCAGTAAGTAGCTCCCGTCCATGGCCTCTGCATCAGCTCCTGCCTCCAGGTTCCTGCCCTCACTGTGAGTGAAATAAACCCTTTCCTTCCAGACTTGCTTTGACCAAGGTGTCTCATCCAACAAGGTACCCTTATCTGTATCCTGTCATCTCCATGGTTTCTCATCCAACAAGGTACCCTCATCTGTATCCTGTCATCTCCATGGTGTCTCATCCAACAAGGTACCCTCATCTGTATCCTGTCATCTCCATGGTGTCTCATCCAACAAGGTACCCTCATCTGTATCCTGTCATCTCCATGGTGTCTCATCCAACAAGGTACCCTCATCTGTATCCTGTCATCTCCATGGTGTCTCATCCAACAAGGTACCCTCATCTGTATCCTGTCATCTCCATGCCTCCTCCAGCATCACAATGGCACACCTTACTGGATACACACGATGGATGTGAAAAGATGCTGGCCAGGTACCCTGCCACTCCATTCCACTATTCCCTTTAGGCTAAAGGTGCCTATTCCTCAGGCTGCTACTCCCAGTCAGTGACTGTGGTATTTGAATGAGAACTGTTCCCATAGGCTCCGGTCCCCATTGGTGGAGCCGTTTGGGGAGGTTAAGAAACCTTTATTTAGGAGGTGGAGCCTTGCTGGAGGAAGTGCATCACTGGGAGTGGACTTCAGAGTTTTTAGTCTTCAGATTATGGCTTGATTACTCTGTCTAATTTCCTGGAAAGGGGTAAAGGTCACACCCACCTCTGGAATCCAAATTAATTAAACTAACATCAATAGTAAGTATTGGAAGAATTTTATTAATCTCTATAGACGAAGCAAAAATATTCAGCAAGCAGCCTATGTCCTCAAGAGGTTATGATCTTAGCAAGAGAAGACGCAAATGTGTATTAAGTTAAACGGCCCAAAAGATTTAAGTATCAGTCCTAAAGAATCACAAAACATTGGGATTATCAGAATAAAAACACCAAAAGAGCCAGGCTTTGGTTAAATTTGATTTTACAGACTTACCAGGGCCCACAACTCAGAGATCAATTCTACACTGGGATTTTCTCCTTACTGAAAATATCACACACAACTTCATTTCAAATAGTGATTTTAATGTATCTTCATGGATGTTGGATAGATTTATTTAAGCTACAAGCAATAACTGTGACAGATTTCTCTCTGGACTCAAGGCCATGTGCTGACTAGAAAGGACGTTGTCTGTTTTCCGTTTGTTTCTCTTTCCCTTCTAGTCTGCGCAATAGAAGACAGCCATCCTCAGCTCCTTGGTCTTCACTCTATATAATCCCCCAACTGCCTAGACAGAGTCCGGGGCACCCGTCACTTTGTGCCTGGGCTAGCCTAGCTTGGGCTAGGGACTCTGCATTGGGCGGTCAGTCTAAGCGTATGTCTGTGGCTGCCAAGGGCTACCTGTAAAACAGTTAGTGTGGCAGCCACAGTTAAGGAGAAGCCCCTTGTGGCACCGGGAAGATGGGATGGTCAGCTCAACAGGCAGCACCTGCCCCTCACAAGTGCTGGGAGCTGTCATAACCTTAGGAAACACACATGCAATGCTGTCCCTCGTGTGTGGGATTCGGGTGTTAAACACAGAAAGTAGAAAGGGGAGGAGGCAGAGGGCCATGGGATGGAAGAAGGGGAGAATAAGAAGGAGTATCAGAAGTTGATCTGATCGAGGAACGTTACAGCCATGGGTGAAAATGTCACAGTGAAACCCGTTATTCTGCACGGGGATCGTGCGCTAATTTTACAAATGCGCACACAAGACCTACCCTGCTCAGACAAAAGCAAGAGGCTGGGCTGAGTGTGCTGACACATATCCCAGAATTCAAGGGGCTGTGGCAGGAGGATCGTGACTTTGACTGCAGCCTGGTCTACGGAGCAGGTGTTAAGGACAAATCGTCTCTGAAATCCCAGCATCAGAGAGTTGAGGGCAGGAAGACGGACACATCAAGGCCACCTTCATTTACATAGCAAAGCTAAAACTGCCCTGGGCTACACCAGACCCTGTCTCAAAGGAAAAGAGGAGGAGGAAGGAGGATCATGAAGTATTGGCCAGGGTTCTCTGGTCATCACAGAGACCCAACCACCAGCTCTGCTGTGGTCTGGACACGTCCTCTACAAAATCCAGATGGGGTTTTGAAGATGTGATGAGGTCATCAGGACTAGACGGTTTATTTTTGAGACAGGGTCTCATGTAGCCAAGGCTAGCCTTGAACCAAACACAAAGGTAGCATCTCCTCAAGTGCTGAAGCTGCAGTACCTGGACAGTGGTTTAGACAGCTCTGGGGTTGGACTCAGGACCTCCTGCATGCCAGGCAAGCACCCAACCAGTTGAGTTATATCCCCAGACACCCTGCAGGTGGCTTCCTGTTGGGAGAGTGTTTGCTAGATCCTTCCATAAAGACAACCACATCTTCCCCTCCCAAGGGCAGTTTTCAAGATATTCATCTTAGAAGCAGAGACCATCCCATCCCAGACAAACAGTCTTCCTGACTCCTTTACTTTGAGCTTCCAAATTTCCAAAACAGTGAAAAAATAACTGTTTTTTGTTTTTGTTTTGTTTTGTGAGGTACCCAGCCTCTGGTGGCCTGTTACAGCAGTGCACAGCAAACTAGCTCAGGCCCCAACACGTGTCACTTGGGATTGTAATGTCTAAGGAAGGCTCTTGATTCAGATGACCTCTTACATTTACTTGTTTGTATTCAAATTGTTGAAGTCTTAATGTTTAAGACCTATGCTCTTCTAAGCCTTTATATTTGACTCACACCTTTTCTTAATTTTTTTAAAATGTAGTCGAATCTGGTTGAAATTTGCTGTTTTCCAGACTGGCCCAAACCAACAGTCCCTGTGCTTCAGCTTCCAAGTGACAGAATTCCAGGCATACACCACCACACAAGTACACCTTAGTGGTGTCTAATGAGTTCTATAGAAAAATAAGATTCATCAGTTCCATTATCTCTTCAATATTGAAATGACTAAAGCTTGACATAGTAAATATCTAATTTTATAAAGTGACTAATTTCCTAAAACATTTTGGGTACACTAGAGCTGATATTCAAAAGCATGACAGGGCAAACCTGTACTCCTGAGATTACTAGAATTAAGTAACCTCATAAGATCCATGGTGAGTAGCTGTCAACTGCTTCCAATGGTGAATTCTCACCTCTTTTACTTTTCCGTAGAACTACTAAGTTTTATGGTTCGACTTACAGCCTACCAACCACAGGCTCTAGCTTACAGACTCCTTTGCAGCTACCTGTGATGATGTGACTGAGTGTGAGCCAATGAGAAGTGAGCAAATATGATAGGCAGCACAGTGAACCAATGAAAAGTGAGCAAATATGATAGGCAGCACAGTGAACCAATGAAAAGTGAGCAAAGACACTGCAGCACAGTGCACCACTTTCTGACTCACCAAGTAAGAGGGAAATAAACATCTATCTATATTGACCAATAGGTTAGGCCATTGTATAGTAAGTAACACATGCCTCAAAGTGTACACATAAACTTAGTTGATTATGGCCTTTTAAGTGGTTCAAAATTTCAATTCATTGCACCACCAAAAAGTTTCCAACTAGCTGTAAAAACTAATATGCTAGTTTCTTTACTATATTAGATCGTCAGTAACTTCTCAAGCCCCTCGTCATGACAGCGACATACCCCTAGCCTCATACGGGAGTCATCACAGTCTGTTTTGTGCTGCAGAATACTACAGACCAGGGAAATTCTAAACATAACCTGTTTCTCATAGTTCCAGAGGCTGGGACTCCAGGGTCAGGGATGACTTGCTATGTCATGGAAATTCTAAACATAACCTGTTTCTCATAGTTCCAGAGGCTGGGACTCCAGGGTCAGGGATGACTTGCTATGTCATGGAAATTCTAAACATAACCTGTTTCTCATAGTTCCAGAGGCTGGGACTCCAGGGTCAGGGATGACTTGCTATGTCATCTAACGGCAGAAGGGCAGGGCAAGAGCAGAGCATCAAGGGCTGGGGAAAATGCAAGCGTGCAAGAGAGGTGGGCTGGTGTAAGGGAGTGTGTGTCTGTGTGTGGGGTGTGTGTGAGTGTGTGTATGTGTGAGTGTGTGTATGTGTGTGAGTGTGTATGTGTGTATTGTGAGTGTGTGTCTGTGTGTGTGAGTGTGTGTCTGTGTGTGTATGTGTGTGGGGGGGTGTGTATGTGTGAGTGTGTGTATGTGTGAGTGTGTGTATGTGTGTGAGTGTGTATATGTGTATTGTGAGTGTGTGTCTGTGTGTGTGAGTGTGTGTATGTGTGAGTGTGTGTATGTGTGAGTGTGTGTGTATGTGTGTGAGTGTGTGTGTCTGTGTGTGTCTGTGTCTGTGTGTTTGTGTGTGTGTGTGTGTGTGTGTGTGTGTGTGTGTGTGTGTATGACTTCTGGAGACTGAGTGTGGGGCCCCACACTAGCAAATTGTCCGAGTTTGCTCTCTGTTGTGGTGACAAACACCATGACCAAAGGGGAGGAAAGGGTGAATTTCATTCACAGTCTTCTGGTCCATGCAGAGGAAGCTGGAGGCAGGAGCGGATGCAGAGGCCATGGAGGGATGCGGGATGCTGCTCGCCAGCCTACTTCCCCTGGCTCGCTCTGTCTGCTTTCCTCTCCCCTGGCTAGCTCTGTCTGCTTTCCTACGCAACCCAGCATCACCTGCCCAGGGTGACACCACCCACGGTGGGCCAGACCCTTCCACACCAATCATTAATCAAGAAGATGCCCCCCACGCTCACAGAACTGTCTGATGGAGTGTCGATCAGCTGAGTGTCCTTCTTCCCAGATACGCACAGGGTAATGTCAAGCTGACAAAAACTAAAGCATACCGGTCGAGGGCTGTGCCATAACTTAAACTTTCTCTCTTAGGAACTCCACACCTCACTGATGGCAGTAAACTTTTGCAGGGGCGGAGCTCCCCGGTCCTGACCACTGTCCCCTTTCCTAGCAATGTTGCCCTGAAGATTCAACTTCAGCACACACTCTTGAGGGCACCTTCAAACTCAGGCAGAGTGCTGTGTGTCACTGACTCTAAGACGTAACCTGCAACGTAATTTTAATATCTCTAGGGCAGAGGAAACACAGCCATTGTCATCGTTGCTGCCATCCATAGAAAATGCAGAAGACCAGTCCTTGGGATATAAACCATAGACAGCTCCTGTTCAGATGGAGCGCATCATTAATCCTACTCTAATCTCAACGTTTCAGCCATTCACCCAACCAAGAGGGGGAGATCTGCTTGGTCTATAAATGGAAGATTCTAGACATTGATGTTGTAATAGACTCAAGTTCCTGGAAGAGCAGTGAGGTCTAAACCAGGATGTGGGTATTAGATGCTGCCAGAATGAGTTTCCTTGAGCAGCTGTGCGTCGGGAAAGTTGACTTTGCAAGTGTCTTCTGTGTCAAGAGAAGGCTCCCACTCTGCATTCGGGGTCGAATTCCATGACGTGCTAACGTTTAAGTTTCACCTTTCTGTCAGTTTAAAGTGAGGCCTGCTAACTTTTTTAATCTGCAGGCTGGAGCCAGAAGACACTACACATGCATGCAGGCTCTAACCCACATGCACACACACACCAGACCAGGACTGATCTCTTAGCTGTAAGGTTAGGGTTAGCCGAATGCAACACTCTTTGTGTCTCATATTTTTGCTTGTTTTCTTTCTGAGATTTTCTTTTGGAAGGGGTACTGGGAATTGAACCAGATCAGGTGAATTCCCTACCACTCAGTCCTTTTGGGGGTTTTGCTTTTGTTTTTGAGACAAGGTCTCACTATGCTGCCCCAAGCTGGCTTTGAACTCACTGTATAGCTCAGGCAGGCCATGAACGTATCATCTCCTTACGGCAGCCTTCAGATTACAAGTCAGTGGGTGGGTGGCACCAGGTCAGACTTCCCTATCTTATTGACCATCGTTCTGTAATAATTACACCAGAGACTTACCGTGAGGCTTGAGAATAACAGATAACAGAATCTAGAAGCAGGGCGCGTATCAAGGACCCCTGAAGAACAAGATGTGACAGCCTCAGTTTCCGACATGTATCCTATCTCTATGCTGCACCTGAAGTGTCTGTCTTTACCCCACTCTCCTGTTCCATCTCGTCTCCCTGGAGACTGTTTCTCCACATCCTGTGCCCACCCCAAAAATATGGCCAGCCGGTAGCCTCAGGGTCTTTAAGACGAGCCTGCTGGGTCGCAGGCCCCGACGCCTCTGAGGAGGCGGATGAGTCTCATTAGCCATCCCTTTGGGTTCGTCTGAGATCGTGAGAGGAGGAACACGGTGGTAGCGTGCAAGCATTTGGTTCCTAGGAAAGACCTTCCCTGAGGAGCCAGGGCCTGTCTCACGAAGGGCAGTGGAGGTTGAAAGCAATGCAGACCGGATCCGGTGATTTCTGCGACCTTGACCAAGTCGTTATAACACGCTCAGGGCACAGGCTTGAAACAAATCACATGCATGTGTAAGGAGAACATAAGGAAACCTGCCTGTTACATGCGTGCATTAGAGATACTCGGAATTAGTGTTGCACAAGGAGCCCATGGAGGTCAGCGTTTAAAAAGGATTAGTTCAGAGCATCGCTCCCTGTTTGACACACGTGTGTGGAGGGAGGGGGACGAGCCTGGGTATGCGTGTGTGTGCTGACGCACCTGTACATTTGGATTTGTGCATGTGGGGGTCATAGGACAGCTCTGGGTGTCATCCCTCAGGCTCAGCCCACTCGTTTTTTGACACAGAGTCTCTGGCTGGCCTGTGGTTGGTGAAGAGGCTGGCTGTCCAGCAAGCCTAGGGCTCTATCTACCGGTCTCCATGTCCCCCCAGTGCTGGGATTACAAGTGTGTGCCACCATGCCCAGTGGTTTTCACACAGGTGCTGGGGACTCCGGTCCTCGTGCTCGCAAGGCAAGTCCTTTACGGCCTGAGCTCTCTCCACCCCCACCTGCCTTAGTCTTGTTCTCCCAAATGTGGCCTCTTTCCACAGCTAGAGAAAACAGGCTCTTCCCGAAGACTCGGCGGCACTCCAGGGATCAGGGCTGGAATGAAACAAGCAGCTGAGATTTAAGGGCTCCACTTTGGCAGCTCCAACTGAGTGCCCAGTTATCCTTCTTCTGGCCAGGGCTTGCCCTCAAGAGTCACCTCTGACAAGCAACTTCTGATCCTTCCCTAAGAGGAAGGGTGGACAGGACCACTAAGAACCAGTGACCAGGTACAGTCAGGCAGTCTCGTTACTGTCTTCCCCAGCCTCTGTGGAGGGCTAGGTGAGAGTCCTTATTTCTCTAATGAAAGAAATAAAAGACAAGAGCTGGGGTTTGGAAATATTTCAGGGTTTTGTTCTCAAACCACCCGGCTGGCCAGAAATGGGGGAACCTCACACCCATGTGTCTGACTCCAAGGCTCCAAGTCCCTGAAGATTGCTCCTACATCATTCCTGAGGCAAAGGCATTTCTTCACCCATGCATGCAAAGGAGCATTCCAGAAACAGTCGACTGTGCACCTGCCTTTATGCACGGAGATGGGGCTGGGGTCCCTTCCGGTGAGAGGCCCTATGTTCTAACCGTGCACAGGAGGAAACAGACTGAGTTGTAGGAACCAGTTCCCACCGAGAACATTTTTATTTGCCCTCCTAAACTGAATCGCCTGGCCTATCTGACTCTAACTTACCTTGGCCCCCATGGCATTGCTTCCTTGTGGCCTGAAGGTCACAGAATGGCAGTCACATCCTCAAACGCCCTATGCTGGAGCTTTCTGATGTGCCCTCAGGAGCACAGTGCAGGGAAACAGGCCTCCAGCGCTTGCTGGGAGCTTCCCATTCTCTCACGGAGTCGAATGCTGTAAAGTCTTGATTTAATTGTTTCCTTGGATTTTAAGAGCCAACATCCCAAGCTGGGACCTGCCTGCCACACCCCAGGGAGGGGGCCCTGGTTCCCGGAGTGGGCCTGCCCTAAACTCCCCAGATAGACTGACAGGCCCCAGGAGAGAAGGGGACTAGGAGAAGGGATAAGGGCAGGCCAGTGCCAGCCTTGAGCTTAGAAATGCCAGAAAAGACCCAGCCAGTTGAACTAGGCTTTGGCATTCTCTAGAGTATTATTGTTTTACTATATACATTCTTCTATTACAAGACACATAGCCACATTGTAGAAAGTTAACAAGATGAAAAAAATAAAATAAAATATGCCTCAGTCTGAGCATAACCAGATCTTTCTTTCTTTTTTTCTTTTTTTTTTTTTTTGGTTTTACGAGACAGGGTTCTCTGTATTGTTTTGGAGGCTGTCAGTCCAGCCCGGCCTCGAACTCACAGAGATCCACCTGCCTCTGCCTCCCGAGTGCTGGGATTAAAGGCATGTGCCACCAACGCTTGGCTCTGGACCTTTCTTCACGACTTTAACTATGGATACGTGTATTTATATCATCAGAATCAAACTGCACATATTTTTTCTAATTCCATGTTTCCCTTTATTATCTAACCATAACGATGTCCATGTTCTTTTCTGTTTAAGGATTTAGTTTTATTTTGTGCTCATGTACATTCGTGTGTATGTGTGTGTATGTGTGTATATGTGTGTGTATGTGTGTATGTATGTGTATATGTATGTGTGTATGTATGTGTATGTGTATGTGCATGTGTGTGCATGTGTGTGTATATGTGTGTATTGTGTGTGGTGTGTGTGTATGTGTGATATATGTGTATGTGTATGTGAATGTGTGTATGTGTGTCTGTGTGTGTCTGTGTGTGTGGTGTATGTATGTGTGTGTATGTGTTTATGTATGTGTATGTGAATGTGTGTGTGTGTGTGTGTGTGTGTATGTGTGTGTACATACAGGTGCCCTTAGAGAGCAGAAGAATTGCAGGTGGTTGTGAGCCGCCCTTCATGGGTGCTGGGAACTGACCTGTAATCACCTGAAGAGTAACCAGCTCTCTTTCCTCTGAGCATGGTCTCCAGCCCCAACGTTTATGTCCTTAATTAACCTCCATGGCTATATTTTTTTAACCACTGTGGAAAAAAGGATACTACTTAATTTTTCCTATTTAAGGTCACACCTTTCCCCTCTTCCCCTTTTACAACTAATGAGTATCTTCCAACCTGTGGTGACACCCCTGCCCCCCCCCCAGAAAGGGTACCATGCTTGCCCAGTAGGCCTAAGAAGTAGGAGAAGCTGAGGCCTGAACAGCAAGGATCCTGACTTTCTCGGAATCTAGAACACAACAATGGCATTTCTCTGGGGCTGGGTAAAAGGTCAGAAGACACAGGAAGAGGAAAAGAGACGGAAATGCCTGCACTGAGTGATGAGTCGCGTCTACACGTGGGCTTCCCTGGTGCAGAGAGGCGCTGAGTGCCGCCACACCCACCACAAGGCCGGCTGCCCCAGTGCCTTGCAGAAGGTTCCGGCACTGGAGGGCTGGGGTGGGGAGCTAGAGGCAAGGGGGGGTGAAGGCCAGGACTCTAGAGGCATAACGTGGAAGGAAGCTGGGGGGCGGTGCGGAAAGTCACTCAGAGGCGCGAGGGCCCCGTCCCTGGAGGCCACTCACTCTGCCCACGCTGGGCCTAATGTGCCTGTGGTCCTCCTGCTTACTCTCCCCTGAGTTTTATCTTTTCGGTCGCTCTTTCACGGCGAAAATGTGAAATGAAGGCCCCATCGCATCTGAGAGCAGCTCCCTCAAGCCATGGTTGTGGTTCCGTGACCACCGACTACTAGCCAGGAAGCACGGGCCACCACGGCTGATCGCTTCCACTGGTCCCCGGGGTCACCTCAGCACCTGTGGTGGAGTTTCCTTCCCTGAGCTCTTGTTCAATCTGGTTTTCATCCCTCCCGGGACTCAGAGTCATTTTATTCCTCTCCCAAGCCACACTCTGGCCCCAGCGCGCTGTGACTGGCCGGTAGACATTCGTACCAAGAGTTCCTAATACAGCACACAGACTGAGCCCGGCGTCTCCCCTCTATACCGCTGTGAGTGACACTGCCAAGCCCCGGTCCTCACACTACATGTGTGCAAAACCACTAGACTCGAGCACCCTCCAAGGAGGCACCAAACAGCGTTCTTGGGCTCACCCCCTCCTCCCAGGCACCGCGCTCCAGAGCTCAAACAGGCGCTCCCACAGTCTCCGCTGCACCGCACCGCTGGCCTGGGGGCTTCCGTCCCGTGCTCTGTGGCGCCATCCGGGGTGCAGCATGACCCGATTGTCTTCTTGTTCAAAACCCTGGAACAAGGGAGCTACAGGGCCACGCCCCAGATCCACGCAGGCATCCACCCGTGCAGCAACTGCTCCCCGTGGGGATGGAGCAGATGTCACGGGGAGCTACCCCACGATACTTGAGGTCACACAGGAATGCTCTCCCGGGGCTAACCACTCAGCCTCTCCTTGTGGCCCACCGGGGTCACACGTGCGTGTTTGCACTTGGCTGCGTTTGCCCAGTTGCACACCTGTGCGTTCCTCCTGCGGGCGCTGTTCGCTCTTCCCAGCAACACTGCATTGTCGGCGACTCCTGACACCCTCCCTCGGCCCCTCTGAATCCCCCCACGCTTCCTCGCCCCCTCTGGGTCTCCCCACGCTCCCCCCGTGGGACCTGTGCTTACTTCTGGAATTGGACTTAATGGACAGTGCGGCAACATTCTTTGCACGTCTGTGTTCCCTTCCGGACCCCCGCCTCCCGTGCTTTACATGGGAGGCCCTGGGAGAGCCTTCGTTGTCTGTTTGTGTTAGATTAATGTCGTGTCTTCCACCAGTCTGCCTACAAAGACTCCCAAAAAGTGCTCTGGTGAAACTTTTGGGGTACAGTTTTCTGGAAGAGAACGTTCTAAATAATGTGTCTGAGTCTACTTTTCCTTGCTGTTTTGCTCCTCTCTAGGACAAAAGACAAAGTAGACACTTCTAAATCCGCCATGTATAGAGTTACTCAAGTGAAAAAGTCAAGACTCAGGTATTAAGGCTATAGTAGGTATAAACTCGATGTTACTGAAATGTCATAAATGAGAATGAAAGAAAGGGCTTTCTTATAAATTTATTTTAAATTAAAATATAATTACATTTCCCTGTTGCTCCATCCAGCCCCTCCCATGCCCCTTCCTCTCAAGTTCATGGTCTCTTTTTCTTTAATTATTGTTTATATATATGAATAAATACAGACGTTCTTAAATACAACCCGCTACATCCCTTTTGTGTTGTATGAAAGTTATATATGAATAAATGCATACATGCATGAATACGACCCCATACATCTCCTTTGTGTTGTTTGTATGAATACGTTTTTAGTGCCAACCACATGTGGGTAACCAGTTAAATGTAGCTCATCCAGAAGTGGGGCCCGGTGAGTCCCCCCATCCAAATCGGCACACTCTTCTCATCAAAGAAGTTTCTTCCTGCAGCAGCAGGAGAGCGCTGTGGGAAGTCACAACTGGTCAAAATGCAGAGAGCAATGCATGACAGACTGCCCAGACCCAACTGATACATCTGCAGGATAGCCCTACACCTCAGCCTCACTAATGCATCTGCAGGATAGCCCTACACCTCAGCCTCACTAATGAATCTGCAGCATAGCCCCACACCTCAGCCTCACTAATGCATCTGCAGGATAGCCCTACACCTCAGCCTCACTAATGCATCTGCAGCATAGCCCTACACCTCAGCCTCACTAATGCATCTGCAGCATAGCCCTACACCTCAGCCTCACTAATGCATCTGCAGGATAGCCCTACACCTCAGCCTCACTAATGCATCTGCAGGATAGCCCTACACCTCAGCCTCACTAATGCATCTGCAGCATAGCCCTACACCTCAGCCTCACTAATGCATCTGCAGCATAGCCCTACACCTCAGCCTCACTAATGCATCTGCAGCATAGCCCTACACCTCAGCCTCACTAATGCATCTGCAGGATAGCCCTACACCTCAGCCTCACTAATGCATCTGCAGCATAGCCCTACACCTCAGCCTCACTAATGAATCTGCAGCATAGCCCCACACCTCAGCCTCACTAATGCATCTGCAGCATAGCCCCACACCTCAGCCTCACTAATGCATCTGCAGCATAGCCCTACACCTCAGCCTCACTAATGAATCTGCAGCATAGCCCCACACCTCAGCCTCACTAATGAATCTGCAGCATAGCCCCACACCTCAGCCTCACTAATGCATCTGCAGGATAGCCCCACACCTCAGTCTCACTAATACATCTGCAGCATAGCATTATACCTCAGCCTCACTAATGCATCTGCAGCATAGCCCTACACCTCAGCCTCACTAATGCATCTGCAGCATAGCCCCACACCTCAGCCTCACTAATGCATCTGCAGCATAGCCCCACACCTCAGCCTCACTAATGCATCTGCAGGATAGCCCCACACCTCAGTCTCACTAGTGCATCTGCAGCATAGCATTATACCTCAGCCTCACTAATGCATCTGCAGCATAGCCTCACACCTCAGCCTCACTAATGCATCTGCAGCATAGCATTATACCTCAGCCCCACTAATGCATCTGCAGCATAGCCTCACACCTCAGCCCCACTAATGCATCTGCAGGATAGCATTATACCTCAGCCCCACTAATGCATCTGCAGCATAGCCCCACACCTCAGCCCCACTAATGCATCTGCAGCATAGCCCTATACCTCAGCCCCACTAATGCATCTGCAGCATAGCCCTACACCTCAGGCCCAGGGAGCATCAGGGGAAAGGGAGCAGAAAGACTGTAAGAGGCAGAGAATCAGCAAGTCTGTGGGATCGTGTCTTCTAGATGTGACCGGGAAACCACACCCAGGAAATCTGAACACTATGGCCTCCTAAGCAAGACCCCAGCGACGGCAGCACCAGCTGACATGAAAAGGGCTTTTTTCTGAATCAGTGAAAGGACGTGCTGAGAGCAGCATTAAGGGCTCACCTGGAAGCCTAAGAGAGCACACCCTTCACCTCAGCCAGCCCCACGGTGATGTCAAAATGACAGTGTGAATTTACTATGTTTACACAGTAAATGTGGAACTGCGAGGCAGTAACCCACTAAAAATAGGCACAATTAAATGAAAATATGCACAGAGACCACTTCTCACTGGGGCTATGAAGGCTCACAGCATTTTATCACAAGTGATAAGCCCTGCCCAGACACGACGCAGTGTAGAGGAAGTTAAAAGACAATCCCAGGAGTCCCATCTGTCCACAGCGCACACACCTGATTGGGCAGGTAAGCCCATGAGGAGACTCAGGGCGTGTCAACACATAAAGACTTCAAGAAAATTTCGAAAACCATACAGGAACTTCAAATACTCTAGTTTTCATCCTCCTACATCTAGGGGAAGATTTTACACTCAAAAGCAAGCTGTGGACATGAAGACAGGATCTTGCATTTTTTAAAAGTATATCAAACTAATCTCCAAAAACCAAAGAAATGGTCATCTCAAAACGAAAGCATGAGACGTGAGGAGAGATGCACGTGTCAGCTACTTGACTGAGCTACGATAGACCAGCCATTCTCAACCTTCCTGATGTCGTCTGTGACCCTTTAACACAGTTCCCCATGGTGTGGTGCCCCCCAACCACAAAATTATTTCACTGCTACTTCATAACTGTAATTTTGCTGCTGTTATGAATCATAACATAAACATATACAGGATATCTGATGTTTGACCCCCCCTGCCCCAAGGGTCACGACCCACAGGTTGAGAACCACTGCAATAAACCATAATCCTCTAAAGGAAAAGGCATATTCCAATAACAAAAATATCCTGCACCAAAGAAACACTTGGATATTAGCATCAAAAGACCCATCCAAGTGGAGGAAGCACCAAAGATGGTCCCTGGAACATTCCAAGCTGCTGGCCCTAAGGCTAAGGAGAACCCTTCCCACTTGCAGACCAGAAAAAGAGACTCTTGAGGATAGATGTGGAAATACTCATCAAACTGGAGGAGTGAAATGTGATTCTGAAAACTTGTAGAACTCTGCTCTTATCCGAACTGTGTGTTGGGTGTGGTCAGAAAAGAGAAACCAGTTAGGTTGGGCAAAGAGTCAGATTACATAGATCCCATGAAAATGAGCCTGTATTAAAATAACAAGGAAAGGAAGTTTTGGCACGCACTAAATGTAATCACTAACATGTACTGATAACGTGATTATCAAAGGAAAAACTGGGGAGTGCTGGGAAGAACAATCGTCTACCCTTTCTGAGAATGTCACCCGAGGATATACCCCAACCAAACGAAATATAGAACCAAAACCTCAGAAGTCTACACAGCAGTAGTAATAGTGGCCAACACTTACTGAGGGCTGACTCTGACAGACGCAGTATTTCAGATGACACAACGTATCTTTTTGAACTTCCTGATACCACCATGGTTAGATACTGTTAGCTCCAATGCCCAGATAAGGAAACTGAAGCTGAGTGGGGAAGACAATAGGATGAAGTAGAAGCAGGGAATGCTGGGACAGGGAGATCCAGGGGAAGCCGGGAGAAGCAACCACGATGACCTATGTGTGGAAAACGCAGCCTGTAAGCTAATTTTAAAGATTAAGGCTGAGGGGCTGGATGGAGAGATGACTCAACAGCTGAGAGCCACCGCCGCTCTCCCGGCGGACCCGAGTTCAGCTCCCAGCGCCCGTCCGCATCGGGTGGCTCCCAAGTGTCTGTACCTCCCTCCATGTGACCTCTCTTACCTCTTTCTTCTTCTGTGGGGTTATTTTAGCTAGGGTCCCTTGTGCTTCTGTATGAACCGTAAGATCCATCACCTTGTCAATTTCTGCAAAACCCAAAATGGCCCCTGGAGCTTGCCCTGGGATTTTGTTGGACTGAACATCGGCTTGAGGGATGTTGTCATCTTCAGGCCATGAGCACCACAGTCCCTCCGGTCTTTTGTTTGTTTGGTTTTCAGTCAGACCCCTTTAATCCTGTATTGTTCAAAGCATGAGAGGTCTTGACTTCTTTTGTTAAATTCATCCCTCAGGTGGTCTAGGAAGCCACTGTAAATGGAATTGTTTTTTCTTGATCTCATGTTGGGGTCGCTCATCACCAGCCTGTAGAAAGCAACTGATTTTTGTCTGTCAATCTTCTATATTTTTTTGTGGATGCCTGAGACTTTCCTATGTACAAGGTTTCTTTTCCCCCTGTATTTATTTACTTTTTTTAGCCACGGTTTCCTTTTAAAGTTTATATTTAAGCTTGTTCATGTGTGTGCATGTGTGAGGTC